TCTTTCGCAATCAATGGAGCTCTATTATTCCATCCGAGTATAAGATTTCGTTCAACTTTTTTTGTTGTTCCTCTAATCATCTGTTGTGATGGTGAATTTATGTTATGATTAATTGTTGATGCTGATATTGATCGAGTACTACGTGATAAATTATCAGATGATAATATAATTTTATCATCATCTTCAGCAATAACAATAATTTTATCATCCATATTGATTATTGTATCTAATTGAGGACATAATTTTACTGTTCCATCAGCTAACATTAATCCAATTACTGAACATTTATTATATGAAAATATTGCATCATAAAATGTTCTACCAACAAGTGCCTTTTCATATTTAAAATAAATTTCATCATTTTGAAATGATAATAAAGTTGTCAATATTACAGTTAAACCACTTTGTCGACATGATTGAGCTATAATACGCGCAGTTATTTCATCAGCGTAGACAAATATTGCTTCATCTCCTCCTAAAAAAATAAATACGAATGAACATTTGTGTAAGCAAAGCTACTCGAGAATACTGATACTCTCGTCATTACCCACCCTAAAAATGATTTCTAAACATTAAGAAAAACAAAAATCTTCAAACCTGCAATCATTGCTGCTTCTAAATTAATTCGTTCTTTGATTTCGGCTACTATATGAAAATTAATATTATTTCGTTGTGGATTATTTCTAATAGCTAATATTGTTTTGATTATTCTAATATCCGAATTGTGATTTGTTTCTGATGCCAAGATTATTACTGATCGTGCTTGATTAATACTTAATTTATTTAAATCATTGATCTAAAATATGACACTATAGATTTGCAAGATAAACGAATAATGGAGGAAAAGTTTTGTACATACCGACATTGGATCACCATTTCTATAGATAATTCTTGTATTTTTTGTATCATGTATTTTATTTTTAATTAAATATTGAATTTCAATTCGTTCTTTTGATGTTAAAATAACAATGGAAGGATTACGTTGACTTTCATTTGCAATAATTAATTCATGAATAATATCAAATATTTTTGGTGACCATCCTAGAATTACTAAAAAGTAAACGAAACAAAAGTTTTCCCTCTTTAAATTTTTTATCTAATTTTACTCGTATGATTCTTTTCATAAACTGTAGTATGTCCTTTTTTTAATTCATTTAATTTTTCATCCATAAAAGTTACAATTGTACCAATTAATATTGCAATTATAACAAGACCACAAAGTATAACAATTCCAGATATAATCCGATGTTTTAAACCTTCATCTTCAGCTGCTGCACATGG